CGTCCCGGCGTGTACAAGTACACTCGACCGTGGCGGCAGGTTCACATGGTCAGCGAGGACTCGGATCGGGGCTGACGTCGCTATAAGTTGCTCCAACAGTAGAACAAGCTTCCTTAGCGTTATCTGGTTCGCTCCAACGCTAATGACGCCACTATACTTGCACAGGAAGTTCATTCCGAAGATGACGTCCTTCGCACACTTCTGTAGAACGACGAACTTGATCGGAGAAGTTTCATTGTGGATTTCGACGCGAGCAGCGCAACTTCCAACAGGTGTAATGAGGTGTCTTCAAGCGGTTCGTATCGGCGGACCCTTCCCAAGGCGTCGTCTCTTTTTTAAGGCGTCAAGACAGTCTCCTACTGAAAACTGAGTAGTCTTCTCCAGTGTCCTCGAGTACTGACGCGTCGTAGCCGTCCATGACCACAGTGAGGTTGTTGGGCACCGTTGCAGAAGGGGCGTTCCGATGGGGGACATCGGCGGAGTGGGAGCCATCCGGTGTTCATGGAGGCTGTCTACGTCGTCCGTGTTCGGCAACGCCACCTCGAGGCGTTGCCGCACTCAGTCTTTCCAACGATATGTATGGGGGGGGGGGGGGGGGCTAGGCTGTCCCGGCGAGAGCGGCGGAGGGGTGAAGCAGAACGTCGGGATGATGAAGAGCGGGGTCCTTGAGGTGGGGACGGCACCGGGGACGGTGCCGTCCCCACAAAGATAATCTTCAATCTCACTTGGACGCTCGCGTAACATGGACGCGAGTTTTGCGGCATGAACCCGCGAAGCCCAAGTTGGTGGTAGGGACAGCGCCGGTAGATGTGGTCTGCCTCTCCGCAATGGTAGCAAAGAGGGCGCCGATCTGCCGTCCTCCAAACGTCGGTCTTCCTCATGCCACGTTGTTCTGTCCACGGAGCAAACTGCAGTACCGGTGCCTCACGTCGGGAAGCTGGCTGGTGTTGTCGTGCGACGGAACGTGCTCTCTTGGCGACGGCGGCGTAGGTTTGTGCCGGTTGTTCAAGGTCCACTACGACGGAGGCCCCTGACAAGAGCGTGTGTACCCCCTCGCGAAGAGCCTCTGCTCTCGGAATGGGGGCTGGTCGTTCCGGTGAAGGCGGCAACCGTTTCAGTTGTTCTCAAGCAACATCCCTAATGACCTTCCGAATGTTCTCAATGCCTATGCCGCCGAGGTCAGGGCGGGAAGATGGAAGGGTTGAGATGGTAGCTACGCCGAAGAATCTGTGATATGGTCCGCCCTGGCCGACAGCGCTCGTTCAATGTTTGTTGTCTCAGCAACATATTTATCCACGGCCATTGAGAGATTGCGAGCGAAGCCGACAAAAATCTTGCTCTTCCCGCCTGTGATGAGGACGCGCAGCTTCTTGTCTTCGACGGATCCAGGGCCCACACGAGCGCGTAGGCGCAGCACATCTTCAATGAAGCTCTTCATGCTTTCGTTGAGACCTTGGCACCTTGTTTAAAGGATGTCCTCAGCTCGTAATCGTCGGTGATGGTTTGTGAAGGTTCGCTTTAGCTCATTCACGGAAGTCTCCCACGTCGTGCCTTGCCGTTCCCTGTAGAGGAAATAAAAAGTTTTGAAGGCGCTGTTCTGCCGTCCATGCGTTGTAGCGGGGCCACACGCTTGTAGTGCTGAAGCCGGTCCTCCAGATCCTCATGGGCCTCACCATGGAATGTCGTCGGATTGCGTGGGACGACTGGCATGAAGACGACGGATGGAGCTATTGAGGTGTGCGGCGACTGGGTGCTCATGGCTGGTGTCTGCGACGGTTTGGTCTTGCTCTTGGTTGGCAGTTAACCAAACTCCGGAGGCTTGCCTTGAGTGCGGCGGCTTACTCGTGCGTCGGCTTCTTCCTCAAATTGTCTTCTTTCGCTGGGGAGAGGACTAGCACTGCGGGCCCTCGGAGGGGTACGCTGCATGGGTTCTACCCCGCACCTCCACCAGAAACGTCACGAATTACAGTTGATGAGGCGACAAGTGACTGAAGGAAACTAAATGCTTAATGGGGCGAACTTGTGCACAGAACAAACTAGAAAAAGGCTGGCGTTGAAAGCGTCGATAGCGGCGAAACAGCAGGATCGAGAGCTGCGGCGAGACTGACTCCGTATGGCGCGGCGCGGCTTCTTTTGAGCCTTCCCTGAGAGCTTGAACCATTCTGCTTTGTTCGTTCTGGAAGTATACATTCTGATCATGAGCAAGTTACATGGTTCTTCAATGTTCTAGAATCTTCTACTTACATCAAGAAAGAAAAAATGACGCACCGGTAGCTGGGTTCGAACTTCGGGCATCTGCGTGGGAACCTAAGCGCGCTGCTTAATTAGCGATAGTTGCGCATTTTTTTCTTTTTTTGCGTGAGATTGGCTAGCTGCGCAAGTGGCAATAGTATGTAAAGAAAGAAAGGTAGGGCGACCTTCTCCAACTCCTCTTTGCCTTCAAGTGATGCTCTATCGCTCTTGAAGCGCGAGTGCCCCTAAAAACACTTCGCACGATTCACAGCGTTTTCACTTAAGCCTGCCAAATTATTTCATGGGTCTTTTTTTAGATTTGCAGAGTTTGACGCAGAATAAATGTTCGCTCTTTCTCAGGTTTGCAGTCAATAATGAAAACGCCATTGTGCTCGTGCATGTGGTCATAAGTAGTCGTGTCGCGCAGCTCCACATCTTCACAAAACGACTACTTTTTGGCATGATGTCAGATAAAGGTCCCTAAATTCGACTGCTGCGCGCGCATCACCGTGCTGTTGTTTTCTTTTTACGTTACAAAATAAGTTTCGAAACTTTTTGATCGCACATTGTACATACTTCCTTGGGCTACATAACGTCCACTAAAGTTATTCTTGCACGAAGCTTGGCATAAATGAGTGCAAAACCGCATCAAACTTTGAATTTCATTATGATAAAAAAATTACAAGAATTTCAAAAAAGAAAATAACGTACACTTTTAAAATTGTTTCGAAATAAAGGGCGTAAAAAGATATTACAGGCGTTTTTTTTTTTACCGCAAAAATAAACTACTCGCCGAGCGCTTATTCTGCGCCTAAATAGTGCGATAGGGGTCTTAAAGGGACACTACAACGAAATTTCGGCGCTCATTTTTTTGGTCTATATGTGTTCAAAAGAGCAGCATCACATCGAACATACCAATATCTTGTTAAAAAAGCCACGAAAAGGAATTTTAAAACGAATTAAACGATTAGCAAAGAGCACCTGGTGGATGTCGCTAACGCCTCATTTGTAATGCTCGTCTAGGAACCTTGACAGCTAGTGACGGAGGTTGTCTCGTCTCCGGCCACGACGAGAGAAGGGGGGAGGGAGGAACTCCCCTCTTCCCGAGAATCCCTTTTGTGTGTCGCAGAAGTCGCTATTGTCCCCCTAGAAGATTATAGAAGATTAACCCGTCACTCAAAATTCGTACAAAAGCAGCCGCTTCGGTGGCTGGAACGATTAGGCCATCTTCTCGACGTCAGCCTCGCCGTAGCTTTGCTCGTCTTGAAACGACCTACGTCACGATTGCGTTGGATGTCACGTGCTCTAAGCTTGGCCTTCTCCGAGCGCTTGCCAGAGTGGGCCGTTTATAACGAAAAATACAGCCACCAGGATCAAAATACAAACGTGCGATTGTCATTTATGGATATTGTGGATCATATTCAACCTATTTTTGAACACGACGGGAATATTTCAAATTTCGTTGAAGTATCCCTTTAACCAGATGGTGAAGTTTAAGAACGAACCGTTATCTCAGTTAAAAGTAGTACTGAAATGCATATGTCCGATCGGACAGTGCTGTCCGCTCGGACATCTGCAATGGTAACTTCAGGCCAACGTGTGAACCTGTGGATGCAGGCGCCGATGGTCCCGTGGCCGACTCATGATCACTCCCGGGTCACCAATATGTAGATTCTTTATGGACGTCTAACGTATTTGAATCCATATATAAACAATCATATAACACGTGAACAGATGTGGCGATAGCACTGATTTCGGTTTCTTGCGCGGGCCTGCTTGTCCGTCGTTCTTACAATGTTCATAGCTACTTTTGTGTGCTCGCAGGCCCGCAAACATAAATTCAGTTTCCCCGCTAGATTTGGCGGAAAACTTCATCTGACGTGACCTTTGCGCCGTCAGTTTGCTCCCTAAACCTAGCAAAACAACTGACGTCACGTGACCTGACATCACGTGACCTACACGCCAATTCAACTTCCCTGCAACATTTTACGTTAAAGAAATGTTCCGTGACCAATGCACCCTCAGTTCCCCCGCTAAATTAAAGCAAAGAAATTGACGTCACGTGACCCATACAGCAATTAAATTTTCTCGCTATATTTATAGGGAAACTTGATAACGCGTGACCAAGAGCTCTAAGTTGGACACTCAGGGAGAAAGTCAATCTCGCCGACTTGCCGGCGGAGTTGTCGCGGGCAATCAAGTTTCCCTCTAAATTTATCAGGGAAAAGTAATTGGTCTACATGTGACGGGAGATCAATTTCCCGCTAAGTTTTCTGGGGAAGCTGATTTGGGACGTTAGGCCACGTGACATACGTTTTTAGGCTAAACTTGGAGGAAAAAATTACTTCGTTTTTGGGTCACGAGACATCAATTTTAATCCACATATCTTTATTTTCGTGCACATAAAAACATGTTTGTAAGGTGGCAGAACGTGAAAGACTATGAATTGTGCGGATATAAATAAAATGCCCTCACATATACAATATCGCAAAAGTTTGTACGGAGACTGAATCGGTGCACACGTCACGCAACGTTGGGTCATGTGACATCAATCGCCCCACTAAATGTAGCGGGAAATAAACGAACGTACGAACGGAAAACGCTTTGAGATTGGGGTTTCTGTTAAAAAGCATTTCATTCTTCAAAAAAGTATGTTGAATGGGCTGGTCTAAGTCTCAGCTAACATGCGCGGGTATACTATACACGCAAAGAGCCATTTTACACGCGGGCATTATGATTCACTACCAGCGATGCCGAAAACAACTCACCTTCATTCCCTTCATAAGGTGGCAGAGCTCAAGGACGCTTTTGGTGCCTTCTACGTTGACCTTCACGGCGTTTCTGTGACAAAAGTATTCGTAAGTACATTGCCCCTGTATATAAGCAATTATGTGCCTTCTAAGAAGATTTCGCTTACGTGGTCTCACGCCTATAAAAATCAGGATAAACAAATATCAAGCGACAATAATTTGATTGCGAATAAGCTGCAATTATTACCTACGGAATTCTTCTACTTGGTTGGATAAAACGCGTATCTTTAGAAACAAAAAAAAAAAAGGCTAAATTTCAGAGGTCCGCCAGTTGCACTCTAATGCGAAGTAATTCCTTTAAACGCGGTTTAATAAAAAAAGAAGCCATAGACCTTTTAGACACGCCGTTGCCGACTTTCTCTCGTCTTACCGAGACGCTGAGGCACCGAAGCGGGCGCTGACGAGCCTCCGCAAAGGTCCATTTTGGAGAGAAGGGCACAGTAGCACCTAAAGGGGCAATAACCTGTCCCACTGTGCGGTAACGATACAGTGAAGCGAACGGAATAAGACAAAACAAATACTGAAGGTAGGTGTTCGTGCCGCCCATGCTCAGTTGCCTGAAAACGCCTATAGCCAACCGGCAACGGCCAGGCGGCGCCAGCAGCGTGAGAGCGCACGGTTATACCTTGGTTATACCCTGTGTCGTTGTAACTTGGCAAAGGGTAAACGATAAGCCCCACATTGCGTGCCAAAGGCTTCGAAATGCGCGACGTACACGAGCGCAACGCACACATATTGGAGCGTGACGCAGCGAAAAGCCCGATACTTCTCCGGACTTGAGGCGCGCTCCGATGATAGGCAGTCACGTTCCGATTGGCCCGCCAGGGCCGTAGCCTCCGCTCTAGTGGCACATTACGCGATCACGCCTTCCTGGGATACCCAGTATTTCTTGCTTCAGATACTAGACTAAGCGGCGCCACCAGAGTAAAAGCTCACGTTTGAATAATGCAGCCGCCACTCCCAGGGGTACCCAATATTTCTTGTTTCAGTCACTAGATGGCGCCAAACCAAACAGCATTGCAGGTTGCCTATACTCCGTTTCACTTTAAGCCCGACTGCATCCGTCAAGACGATACGGAGGAGCAAATCAAGCAGCGCGGAAAATGCATACTCACGGCGTCATCCGCTCTGTGCTTTTGCTACGGCCGACCGAACTAGTCAGGCACAATGAGCGCGCTGCTGGCCTGCGCATTTTCCTATGCGTGATTTGGTCTGGCCATAGTCTCCTACAGACCTTTTTAGGGCTTATCACCCGCGCTAAAAATGCCGAGTCACTGAGCTGTGGACGCATGCACAGCGTCTGATTTACGCAGAGCAGGGGCCCTAAGCTGGACGCTTGGCGAAAACGACGGCGAGAAATTTGGCGGCCGCGACTGGCCAACACCACACTTGTCCTTGGCGCCGGCCAATCATAGCCGCCGAATTTCTCGCCCGACTTTTCCGCCAAGTTTCCAGGTTAGGGCCCCAGAGCTGCAGCGCATGTTCAGAAGGCGTTCCACAGCCCAGCAGCCAAAGATGGCAGCACGCGGGAGGTGATTTTTGGAAGGGTCTATATACTGACAAAGCGTGGCAGATCGCCACGAGAAGCGGCCGCCGAAATGAAAAAGGTCGAGCGGCAGACAACAGATGAGAAGAGAGAGCCATGTGGCTGGCGCCCCGCTGCGGCGAGACGCCGAAGTACACTTTTTTTGAGCGAACAAGTGTGTTTCGGGTCCTCGCTGCTGCAAAAGCTGTGCACTGACGTCCAGGTTCCCCGAGAAATGCCTGTTTGATGATCTGTGCTACCAGATCCTTGCGCTCCAAATCTGCGATCGGGCACTCTATGGCTCCGTCGTCAAAGTGCCAGGTATTGTGAGTATGGAAGAGACAATGATATAACATGTAAAACGAGAGCAGTAAGAACGCGAGTTGCTCAACCTTGTAGGCGTTGTTATCAGTATCTGACATTTTAATGGGGTTAAACTTAAAGGAATACTACAACGAAATTCCGGCGCTTATTTTTTGGTCTATATGTGTTCAAAGGAGCAGTATCACATCGGACACACCAATATCCTGTTAACACAGTCACGATCGAAAAGGAATTTTAAAACGAATTAAACGATTAGCAAAGAGCACCTGGTGAATGTCGTTAACGTCTCATTTGTAATGACCGTCTAGGAACCTTGGCAGGTAGTGACGACGTCTGTCTTGCCTCCGGCCACCTCGAGAGAAGAGGTTGAAGGAGAAACTCCCCTCTCCCCGAGAATCGTATTTGTGTGTCCCAGAAGTCGCTATTGTCCCTCTACAAGATTACATAAGATTAACCCGTCACTCAAAGTTATTACAAAAGCAGCCGCTTCGGTGGTTGGAACGACTACGACATTCTCTAGGCGTCAACCTCGCCGCAGCTTTGCTCGTCCCGAGACGAACTACGTCACGATTGCGCTGGACGTCATGTGCTCTCCGCTGGCTGCTTTTCGAGCGCTTGCCAAAATGGGTCGTTTAAACAAAAAAAAAAAAAAAAAACAGCCAGCAGACTTGAAATACAAACGTTCGATTGTCACTTAAGGATATTGTGGATCATATTCAACCTATTTTTGAGCCCGACGAGTATATTCCAGATTTCGTTGAAGTATCCCTTTAAAGAAAAAAAAAAAAATATATATATATCTGCCAGGTTTTAGTTTTTAAATTCATTAATCCAGAAAAACCTTGATTCCAAATTATTACGGAAGATACTGCTTCTGCATTTTTTAAACAACGTATAAATATCGCTTTTCTGGACAATCTCAAACATCATGCGACACCCTACGGCATTATGAGCAACAAAACGTCATGGTACCTCCGTAAAAAAAAAGCTGAACAGTCATTAAACTTCATATAATCTTAAAATAACAATTTGGGAGCGAAGGAAACAACAACATCGAGTTATCTTTGGCGTTCTCCAATGAGTTGGAGGCTACTACATCGCGTGATTGGGATACAATTTCGGGTTCAAACATATCCGGTTCTTCTATCATTTAATAACCATCGTAATCACGCTGCTCGTCTCTCCGCGGCTCGCATTCGTGATGGAATGCGGTTGTGAATTGAAATTACAGCCAACGCTCAACGTGAAGCAAGAAAATCTTATCTCAGGGGGATTCGAATTAGTACTTCGAAAAGTCAGCAGGTAGGAGGGATACTCGCGTGTGACCTCTTGACCTCCAGCACATGCTATTTTTTCCTTACTGCGAAGCGCAGGTTGCGCAAGTCACTTTACATAAAAAATGCAACGTAGGTTTTCGCAGGGCACGTTAAAAGAAGGTGGGCATTTGAAGATGCATCTTACATATGCGGAGCCACTGAACTCCTGAGTGGAAAAGTAATTCCAACTTGCTTAATTAACTTAGAAAAAAAAACAAAAAAAAAAAACTGAGCTCTTTCGTATTGGCACCGGCATGCCTGACTCATATGTGTGATCGACATGTATTGCTAAGCACAAGAAAAAAAAATAGATATATTAAAAAAAAACAAAAAAACCTTTCGTATGGGACATAGTTATCACTGGTCCCGTTCAGAAAATTTATGAGAGATTATCGGCAACTCCGTTTTGGGCCGCTTATTTATCGTGCGTAGTTTCTAGGACGCCGGCTCTGTGGTTGTGAGTTTTCCATTAATTTTCCTTTACTACGATCATCCTCAGCACTATCTTCAAACGCCGCTCCTCAGTTACGCAAAGGCGACTCATTTCGCTTTAATTTCTAGCCTTTTTTTTTCATTTTCCAGTAAGCGGATCAGCAATTTTCTGGTCGAAGCGAGAACGCATTTGTGGCTCGTCATGTAAAGATCGTGTAGAGACGCGGCTCGGCAATCGAAGTTGCCAAACAGTTCCCCTCAAATTCTCCTCTGTAGCACGACATACGGCAGCACGAACATTACAGAGTGTCGGCTTAGGACTGGCCAACCGCGTCGCTACCATGAGGTCAGCCATCCTAGAAGTATTCGAGCAAAATATCAGACGTCGAATGGCATCCGTTTACTTGCTTGCGTGGCGTCCTTATGGCGCCGCCGCTGGAGCGATATATGACGTTCCGGATTCGCCCATAGAGTCCGGTCTACGTCGCCATCTTGCACAGACAGCGACATTCCTTTCGGTTACGTCTCATGACATAAGGTTAATAAACATAAAACTCAGAATTCCGAAAAAAAAAAAACTGTTTACAGCCCTTTTATAAAACGCAGGACGTGCTGAGTTCGAAGGGTCTTATTATCCCTCGTTAGTTAATTAGATTGCTGCATAAGCCGATAAGAAGTCACAGGAAAAACAAATCAAGGGACCATAAGCATAAACAAAATAAGCCCTGGGATTCTTAAACTCCCACGCCCGTATTCATCAGACGTGACTGGCGCCTGTGTAACCGCTAACTACATCATCGTTAAAAATGATCACGTGTGAGGTGATAATCACAGCTACGTAAGCATTCGGTATTCACCGACCATGTTTAGAGCTTAGTCGCCCCGAGCGACTTAGGAGGCGACTGCAAAATCTTGTTTAAGAAGTACGGCTAGTTTAGCCGGTGTTTAGCTGGTGACTAGCGGCTCGGCGTCATGGCCGACTTCTATCACTGTTGACCACCAGCACTAACGAAGAGTTTACTGTCTTGGAACGCTGAGGAACGGATCTACAAAGAATTGGAGCAGCAAATATTGCGGAAATCGATATGTTTGGAGGTCAGATATATCGCTAAATTGATATCAGCAGGGTGCTGAACGACGAGAGAGCCCGCATTTAGGGGCACTTCCATATTTGTTTATGTCGCTGGCAATGAGGCTTCCGGGTTTTCCCCTTGCTTTCTTTTAAATTGTCTTTATAAAGTCTGTCCCGGACTCAGTTTCTCATTATAACATTTTATTTTTCCTAAGATATATTTAAATATTAGTTTTTACACAATAAAATCGCCACCTACGCAGTGGTGTTTAAGTACGCTCACGCGTGACAAATATTTACGTAAATTCCGCTCGTTACTCCTGATTAGACAGTCACCCGCTCGCTTCGCGCTCGTGAATACCGCACGGCCTAGTCGCTCCTTCGCCGCCGCTTCTTCGCTTAGCTCGTGACTAATTAGACGCGCTACTAACTTTAAAACTACACTCGTTAATCACGGCTGCTGAATACGGCTGTGAGTAACGGCAGTACGAGACAGTGGTGAGCTGCATACCTTAACGTGTTTTTTAATCTGGTAGTTGCCGCGCAGTGAAAGACAACAGACACCTCCGAAGCCAAGCGCTGGTAGTCGCCGATATTCAAGCCCAAGTTTTCTTCTGCTAGGTCGCCGTCGACGACCGCCAGCTTGTTCAAGCTAGCTGGACATTCTTGATGCAACCGCTCGAAGCACTGCATGGGAAGATGAGGCAAAAATTTAGTTGCTCATGCCGAGCGCCTTACGGGCTTTCGAGCACGTTCCTTCGGTGCCGTACACGCAGAGGCTGCCAATGCCGCCGAAGCAGTCAAGTCTGGTTGGACACGCGGCACCATCCCATGCGGAATAGTAGCAACTACGAGACGGCCAACGGCTCCAATCATTGGATCCGTTCTCGATCTGAAAATTTCGAGCGCCCTGCCCAACTCTCACGAAGCATCGTTCGCGCTGGGTCGTTTTCTGGAAGTTGCCTTTTTTTTTTTTCTTATTTGGCCACAACCGCTTTGACTGCCTACTCCGTTTCCCATTAAGTTCTATAGACCTTTCCAGCGGCAGTCTCGAACGAAGCGATTTACAGCGCGTGTCCCTGGTTTTGAGAGTGTACGCCAGTGTTGCCCGACTGCGCTGAGCTGTGGAGTTTCTCGTCAGTAGACTGTGGCAGCCTGCGTTGGCGCAATTCCGGACGCTGGTGGCGGCTGAATTGCCGTGTTTTCTTTTTTATCTTGTATTCTGTGGCGAGCATAATTTATAGAGGTCTTTAAGAAAGCAGTGCTCTATTTTTGGGAACAAAAACAAAGAAATGAAAGCTGTTTTGGTGAGTCCGTGCGCGACAGTACAAATGCAACTGGAATGTTTGTTTCATTTTATGTTCATTGTTTTACGGCACCGTAAACTCAGCCGTGTCAATCTATAAAGGTCAAAATATTTGACCACACAGGATATCCGTACTGCATGGATATTCCCCGCCCACAACATAAAATTCAATGAGTCTCATCAATCGAACAAAAAATATATTGTACGTACCCCTCGGTGCCGCGTTATCCGAACAGGATTTTAGAAAGGTCTCAAATAACACAGAATGTCCAATATACAGTGTCGACGATAGTCACTTCACGACGATCGGACGGAATCCGGCGTGTTTTGGGGAACATGTAGAAGAGAGCTCCTTTTTTGCACAGCTTCATAGCAAATGAACGAACGTGCTTATCATGTCGCCACACCCCGGACCCGACCCTATCAGCTAGTTTTTGCGAAGACCCGGAACACAGCCTGGAAGGCTTTTTGGAGATTATCTCGACGGAAATAATCCTCCAAGCACGTCCAACTGCCTGCGTCGCGGGCTGCTTGACGTTCGCTCTCTTCGTTCGTTTCCTGCGAAGGCCGAGCGGGCTACGAGCCCTGGTATTCCCTGGTTCTCACACTGCAAGATAACACACAAAGGGTAGGCATCCTAAACAGGCAAATAATGTAAAAACTTCCAAGAAAAGCCGGCGAACTCCGAATGCAAAATGCACGTGGGGAGTCACGCTGACCGGGTTTCCGCAGCTCAGGCGGGTGCCAGACATTTCTGGCTAATAGGGGTCGCTCGATTCGCAAAATGGCGGCGGCCAGAGCGCTCTTTTTGGAAAGGTCTATACCACGCAGCCGACAGTACGATGCGATTGATGCCGTCAAGCGGCACGAAAAGTGCATCGTCATAACTACCTCATCGTCTTTTTGCGTTCGCTGGAACCCAACTGAAGCAATGGGCCTTTTCCGGGGTTTCCACGGCGCAGGCGCGGCAGCAGCAGACAGGAGTCCGCCATTTTTGGTGGCGTGGTACGTCCGGCTCGGGGCTGCAGGAGGCAGCGGTGGTCGTGCGTTTCGAAGCTCTCCGACAGGCCCTAGCGCTGTTTCGTTGTTGGCTGCAGCAACGACTGCAAGCGTTGTCGCGGTTTAAGCTTCTTTGGGGGTCCTTCTACTAGCCTGCACTCAACGAAGCGGCAGCTCTGGATTCGGGTGATCCAGCGATACAATGCGGGCGGCTCGTAAAGGCAGCCTTCAAAGCACTCCCGCGTTTGCAGTTGGCACTTTTTTTTTTTTTTTTCTTTATTTGTGTCTGCGGATACATGTTCCGCAGAGGGGGTTTAAGGCTAAAGGCACAAAGTGCCTGACGAGGCCTTAACCCCCTCTTGGCATGCGGCGAGCAACAACATCCATATGCAATACACCATACAGATATAATACACCATACACATATAATACATAGTACATATATAATACATCATACATATTAAGTACAGATTCATTAAATTCATATCAGTTCAATAGCCAAATCTTCATACTGTCAAATATACAGTTTTTTTAGTTTAGACATACTAAAACAGATAAGTATTAGATATATATACGTGGTAGATCCAAAAGTCTAGATCACGACAGTTTTACACGAGTCTAAACGAGATATACATTGACAAACTGAAGTAGAAAAAAAACAAAAAAAACATGAAGCTACAAAAGAAAGAATTTCAAAATACAAATAACATTCTTATACAATAACTTGTATAGACTTGTGATAAGACCTATCAAAAAACGAAGTAACGAGAAAGGTAAGGTCATTGCTAACAAAATATGATTGCAGTTTTAAGAAAGACAAGCAGTACCTAACAAAATGTGAGAGCACTGCACAGTAAATTTGTTTTACAATCTCTTTTAAATTTTAATATTGATACATCAAAGTTTAGTTCGAGTAAATCACGATTCAAAATTGAGGCAGTCTGGAAGGCTAAAGTTTGTCGTCCATAATTTGTGCGTATTATAGGTACTTTACGTTTCGGTCGTCGAATATCGTACACTGGTGTTAGTTCACTTTCTAGCGCTAAGTAGGTTCTATTCCTGTGGATTAATTGAAGCAATTTAAAGTAATATATTTGATTTGCCCTAAGCATGTGATGTTTTAAAAACAAAGATTCCGTACGTAGATTCCTGTAATCCCCCTTGTAGTCCTCGAGCATACGTAAAATTCTTTTTTGGAGGACCATTAATTTATTATAGTTTGAGGCTGTTGTTGTCCCCCAGACCAAAATTGCGTAGCTTAATTTTGAAAGAACCAATGAGTGATACATATTTTTAAGCAGCCAACATGGGATAAAATTTCTGATTTTATACAAATTGCCTATAATTCTGGACAGGTCAGCTTTTAACTTGTTTATATGAGTACTCCATGACAATTCCTCACTAAACCAAACACCAAGAAATTTTTGCTCGCGTACTTGCTCCAGTTCTAAACCTTCAAATTTGATACTTATACTATCGGCGTCCCGTTTATTTACTGGTTTAAAAATTACGTATTTTGTTTTGTTTGAGTTTAATTGCAGTCTATTTCCTTGAAGCCATTCTGACAGTTTTAAGAGGTATGAGTTTGCGGCTAGCTCAATACTTTGTTTTGTTTTTCCACTAAAGAATATATTAGAATCATCAGCATACATGATTACTTCCTGCGGTCCAGATATTTTTGTCAGATCATTTATATATATTAAAAATAATAAGGGGCCTAAGATTGATCCCTGGGGAACACCATGTTGTATATTTAAGTGGGAGGAGGATATCTTATTAATTGTAACATATTGATATCGATCGGTTAAATAACTTTTTACTAGTTTTTGTGCGATTCCACGTATACCGTACCTACCTAGTTTACGCAATAATATTTCGTGCTGCACAGTGTCAAATGCTTTTCTTAGGTCCAGGAAAAGCCCGAGAGTATATAATTTACTTTCAATATTCGCAATTATTTTGTCTTTGATATCTAGAAGAGCTTGCTCCGTAGATTTATGCTTTTGGAATCCATATTGTGAAGACGTTATAACTTTGTGCTTATTAAAAAAACATTCCAACCTATTCTTTATAGTAGTTTCGAAAATTTTTGAAAATATAGATAAAATAGAAATTGGTCTATAGTTGTTTATGTTGTTTACTCCCCCTCCTTTGTAGACAGGACGAATTCTGGCAATTTTAAGTTTGTTTGGAAAAATTCCGCTTTGTAACATTTTATTTGCTAAGTTAGACAGGACCGGAGTTATTATCGAGGCTACATATTTTATAGGTCGGGGCTTAATGTCATCTTCACCGGCCGCCGAATCATTTTTTAGATTTTTTATGATTTTATCAATTTCTGAAGTTGATACCGGGACCAACATTATAGAATCCATAAGGCTATCTATATTCACATTTTCGACAACACTGTTTATCTGTACTAGTGGGTACGCCCCTACATTTATAAAATGCTGATTCATCTTATCTGCGGCTTCTTTGCCGGTTACAATCTTATCTTGCAACAAAAATTCTTCTATAAGGCTGTCTTTTTGCTTTCTGTTTGACATGTCGTTTATTGTTTCCCATATCTTACGTTGGTCGTCATATATACACTCGAATTTGCTCTGATAGTACATACGTTTGGCTTTTTTTAACTCGGAGTTCAGCTTGTTTCTTTTCTTTTTGAATTCATGTAGCAGTTTTATATCACGAGTCTGAATGAATGCATGATACGTTTTGTTCTTATCACTTATTCGTTTATACATATCAGAAGTGACCCATGGCTTCCTCTGTTTTTTTTTCCTGGGGTTTGCTGTTTTAAGGGGAAACGCTTCATCATAACACTTTTTGAACTTATTAAAGAAAATAGAGTAGGCTAAATCAGCACTGCCCTCTGAACATGCGGCATTCCAGTCTGCTCTTTCTATGAGACTATAGAACTTCTCTAAAGATTCCGAGTTTATTTCCCTAAAAAGGTATGGCTCGTTTGTGTTGTTTTGTTTCCTTTTAGAAACGGAGCTTAAACAATAAATAGGCAGATGGTCACTAATATTCTCAGTGAAGACACCTGACGTAGTATCCTTTTCTTCTAAATTAGTTAGACAGATATCAAGCGTAGTCGCAGTTTCAGCAGTCACTCTAGTAGGTATCGTGATCAGATTTACACAAGCATATTGGGTTAAAAGGTCACTAAAGTCTCTCGCGTCTGAATCTTGAGAAGTTATGTTTATGTTAACGTCTCCAAGTATCATAAGTGAGGCACCGGTTGAACCCACATAACGTAGTAGTTCTTCTATGAATTCAAAAAAAGCTAACATGCTGCCCGAAGGTGGGCGGTACACTACGGCAATAACTGTGTTCTTGATTATAATTGTCATGCATTCTATGTTTATATCAAGTTTGC